CTAACCTCCCTGCTTGCCAATTAATGGCTTCACTGAGGCGCCACGCCTTCTGTAGCCGCAGGGCAGGCCACGCGAATCAGTTGGCCTGGATCTCCGGGGCCCTGCTGCAGGCTGCTGGGAACTCAGTGATGTTTTAAGTCTATTATTTATAAATATTTTTTCCAGCCACTTTTATTCAAGGAAAAGAAAATTTGGAAAGAGAGTCTCTCTTAAAAACTGAGAAAGTGTGGTTTCATTAACCTGTAGTAGATTGTGCAGTCTTCCTCTCTATAATATTTTGTTRATCTCTGAGAATCTTCAGAACTTTGTTCTGGTCTCTATCTTTAAAACCAAAATAAATAAGCAAAGGAAAACAAAACAAAATGCCCCCCCTAAAAAACAAAAAAAATAAAATAAATAAAAAAATAAAACACACAGAGAAACACAAACATATGAGAACTCAAAATTCAGGTTACTTATTTGAAAACATTTGTGCATCCTGTCCTTGATATGTCAGTGCAGTAGCCTCTCTGTACTAAAGTTTATTCATCTTAGAGTTGCATATTAGTTAAAAGGATATTTATTATTCTCTCTCTGCCAGTTTTTGAAGAATCATTGGCTGAAGCACTATGCAGAAGACTCTGTAAACCCTGGGGTAATAATTTTGCTGGCCTGTAGTACATTGTCTCACACTTGTGGTCAGTTAGTCAGCTTCCCTCTGTATCTCATTAGAACTCGCATGCAGGCTGACGGTGAGTTTTGTCTTTTTAATGAAGTAATAACTAAGTAGTATGTTTTAAATAAGTGTAAATTAATGATTTCAAAAACAGAAGAACTTATAAAAACTTATAAATAAAGAAAAAGTTAGCTTTCTAATTTAAAGCATGAAATTTGAAATAATAATTTAATTGACTAGAGCCTTTTGTGAATTGTAGGTTTTATTTCTTCTTCAAAGCTCTCTTTGGAACTCTCCACATTTTTCTTCAGTAACTGATGATCTCATTGAGGAGTTTTTGTTTTTATTTAGATTCAAAAATACCACRTAGAACAATAGAAAAGGTTTTGTMCCTTCAAACTTAATCAAAGTTTACCCCATAGAAACAAAGTTTTTTTCTTCTTGGTTCTGCTATCACCATCATGTCCCACATCGGGAACTTAATATATTTGTGGAACTGAATTCACTTACATTGATTCAGTCTACTTAAGGAGGGGTCATTAATCAGAAGGATGATATCTGCTTTGTTCCTCTCAGAGTGAAATTTAGGAATTTAGATTTTAAGAAAATACCTTTATGACTTTTAAAGAATAAAATAAAATAAACAACTTCACATTATCCCATAATCTTCTTGAGTGAACCATTTAAGGAGTTTACATGGCATGTGAGATTCTTTTACATTCTCTTTCTTCCTCTTTTTTTTAGTTAGGCCTTGGGATTTAATTTATATTGCATATTTAATTTATATTGCATTTCCCTCTCCATTCCACCACACATCCATTCTTCTATCGAACTAGCTGTATCATATGTAATTCCAAATGCTCCTTGGAGATGCTTTGTGAAAACTTTCAGCTTTTTCAATAGAACTTTCTGCAGTTATGGAAATATTTTATAACTGTACTATTTACTACAGTGGTCACTAATCATATGTGGTTGACTCTCATGCACTTGAAATGTTACTAATGTGACTGAGGAGCTCAGTTTTTAGTTTTATTTAATTTTAATTAAATCTCAGTAGCTACATGTGTCTTGTAGATATCATATTGAACAGCACAGGACTATTCTATATGAAGGGAGAGAAGCATACTCTGAAGTAATTTCAACTTCTGTAAATTCTAATTTATCATTGAACTATCTTAATACATAAATATTAAATACTGAATTATACTGATCTTTTTAAACTTATAGCTCTGGTGGAACAAGAAAGAACACCTATGATTCAGCTCATCCAAGAAATATATAAGAAAGAAGGAAAAAGAGGATTTTACAGGGGTATCACCCCTAACATCATAAAGTTGCTTCCTGCAGTAGGCATCGGCTGTATCGCTTATGAAAAAACGAAACCAATTTTGGGATTAACCTAGAAGTGAAATATCAAATTGTTATCATTGTCATAATCACTGAATCATAAGATAATGCCTGGGTTATAAGGAGATCATACCTTTTACTAAAAGGAAAGAAGTATCAAATAACTGTTAAAAATATTCTCTTTATTTTATCTATTATAAAATGTATAAATTAAATAATAATTTTGGTAACGTTCTTTAGTAATTTTAAATCCTTAATATTTACCAAATTATTTTTAAATTTCCTGCCAGTCTCCCTTGAATCCTAACTTGAGATTTATTTTGATTGGATTTTAATATGGCATAGAGTAACATAAAACATTTGATCAGTTGTAAGAGTTTATGTGAACCTTTTTTGCATTTAAAAAATTTTTTTAAAGCTGAGCTTTAAAAAAAATCRGTGCATTTAAAATTGATGTTTCTGTTAATCATTGGAGTCCTTGCTTCTGTTCTTTAAGGAAAAWGGAAAGTTGGTTTCATAATTCCTTCTATCATATTGTAGATAGAATAATGATAGCATATTATTTACTACCCTGGGCACTTTAATTTGTAAATATAAATATTGTTGTCTCATTTCTTGAAATTTTTGGCTAATATAAGGAAGTTGACATTGAGAAAAAGACAGCATTGGACAAATTTTATCTTCTGGTTGAAAAMATTTTTTAAAAATTTTTAAAAATTAAATCCACTCTTTCATGTTTACTGAAGCAACTCCTACTTAAATTTAAGAGTTGGTTGAATTAACCCTTTGATATTCTAAATAGCTGCTTCTAACTTTTATTTTAAAAAATCACAATCTCTATTGGAATTGTTTTGAAGAGTGAGAAGGTGGTAGTTGGCTGGTTGACCACTAATGGTCATTGAATGAAGAATTGTTATATTAAACTAACTAAAGTCCAGGTTTTGATCTTTTGCCTTAGTGATACAAAACATTTGACTTAATTTCCTCAAAATTATCAGTTTCTTGTTGCTAGGTTAACAAAAATAACTCTAAAGACTGAGATATAGATCAGAATACAAAGTCACTAATTTATAGTAGAGCTTAATACTTACTATTAACCAAAATACTATMGTCTCTTCTCTAGAGCATATTGTTGCCCCAAGTGCTCTTTCCCGTACCACTCAACGTGCATGGAGCAGAGTGCACCAAAGAGACAGGGCTGAAGAGACAGGTGTTGGCATCGGGACTAAAACACAAGCTGGAAATCAGGCAAATCCAGAAAGTAGAGAGCCATAGAGTGAGAWAATCCAAAATATACACACAAATTACTCTTAAATACTTGATGAATTCCTAACCTGTATAGAGGATAATACTCTAGGGAGAAAAACAAAAAGTGGCAAAGGGACTTCAGCAGCTTCCTGGTTCTGGGCAAATAATTTGACGTTCAAATCCTGCCAAGTTACTGGGGCGTGGGAAATTCCTTGCACTTTCCACTGAAAACCCTCAAAGGGCCATGTTTTAGAAGTAAATTCAGGATTACAGGCTAAAATAAAAATGTCCTAACAAAACCTAAAACTTAGCTACCATACAATTAAAATGATCTGCCAGAGGTTTTAACACATCATAAAAAAAANTTGACCACTAATGGTCATTGAATGAAGAATTGTTATATTAAACTAACTAAAGTCCAGGTTTTGATCTTTTGCCTTAGTGATACAAAACATTTGACTTAATTTCCTCAAAATTATCAGTTTCTTGTTGCTAGGTTAACAAAAATAACTCTAAAGACTGAGATATAGATCAGAATACAAAGTCACTAATTTATAGTAGAGCTTAATACTTACTATTAACCAAAATACTATCGTCTCTTCTCTAGAGCATATTGTTGCCCCAAGTGCTCTTTCCCGTACCACTCAACGTGCATGGAGCAGAGTGCACCAAAGAGACAGGGCTGAAGAGACAGGTGTTGGCATCGGGACTAAAACACAAGCTGGAAATCAGGCAAATCCAGAAAGTAGAGAGCCATAGAGTGAGAWAATCCAAAATATACACACAAATTACTCTTAAATACTTGATGAATTCCTAACCTGTATAGAGGATAATACTCTAGGGAGAAAAACAAAAAGTGGCAAAGGGACTTCAGCAGCTTCCTGGTTCTGGGCAAATAATTTGAMGTTCAAATCCTGCCAAGTTACTGGGGCGTGGGAAATTCCTTGCACTTTCCACTGAAAACCCTCAAAGGGCCATGTTTTAGAAGTAAATTCAGGATTACAGGCTAAAATAAAAATGTCCTAACAAAACCTAAAACTTAGCTACCATACAATTAAAATGATCTGCCAGAGGTTTTAACACATCATAAAAAAAAACACCAAAACCAAAAAAAATGACAATTAGTGAATATAACAAAATCCAGAACCTCTACAATGTGTTATCAGTAATGTCCAAAATTTTTTAAAATTATAGAAGTAGGAAAACATCATCCATAATTAAGAGAAAAACATCATATATTAATAGATTCACAGTTAATCTAAGTGTTGGAATTAACAGAGAAGGACATTAAATAGCTACTATAAATAGGATAAGGAAAAAATAGGATGGTTCAAAAGATGGGGAATTCTGGCAGAGAAATGAAACYATAAAAGAACCAAGTAGAAATACTAGAATTGAAAAAATACCTGGAAACAAAAACTCTTAAATTTGTTAGTAACAATTAGTGATGACTAATCAATCACTAACAGTTAGTGAAKAGTTAATGAACTTAAATATAGATCAATAAAAATGATCTCATGTGAAGCCCGTGTAAAATAACCAAGCATTGTGGTACACACCTCTAATGTCAGTGATTTAGGAGGCTGAGGCAGGAGGAACACAATTTTGAGGCCAACCTCAGCAACTTAGCAAGACCCTGTCTCAAAGCAAAAACATAAAAAGGGCTGGGGATGTAGCTCAGTGGTAACACATCTCTGGTTCAATCCCTAGTACCAAACAAACAAAAAACCCCAAATAAACAACAACAACAAAGCAAGTGAAAATAGATTGAGGAAAAATGAGTATCSGTGATCTGGGATACAATATTGACATGTAATACATTTAATTAGAGCCAAGAAGATGASGAATGAGAAAATAGAGTGTAAAAAGTACTTGAARAAATAATGGCTCAAAATATACTCAATATTTTGGTGAAAAGAAAATTTACAGACTTAGGATACTTAGCAAACTTTAAGCAACATAAAATTAAAACATAATAACACATAAAAGTAAAACCRCTAAAAGGCAAAGATTCCTGTTAACTTAAAATCCCCACCTGTTTCTTTTCCTCTGCTACTTTCTTGAGTCCTGTCAGTTACACTTCACATCTTCATGTTGTCCAGTCAAAACCCCTGTTATTTGAACATCTCTTAAGTTTTTTAATGTCTATTTTGTGATCTTCTTTTATAATTTCAATAGGGTTCATTACATGTTTTTCTTTATAAAAATAAGTGTAGGACTGTTACAATTTTCATTTACCTGTAGTAGACATTTTTTATACATGTGAGTATTCATTTATAGGAAATTGGCTACTATGGCTTTCTTTTCATAATACTTTAGGCTAAATGCTGAGTGTATTCATTTTTGTTAATCATAGTTGAATGAGATGAAATTCCTGGGTTAGAATTAGAAGGTTGGGTGAAAATAGTAGGGGAAGTTTTTCTTTTCCATTGTTCAAAATAGCAAGAATTATAATAACTAATGTTTCACAAAATATCAGTTTAAGTCTGATAGTATAATATTAAGTAGTTGTTTGAAATGATGGTATATGAGAATATAAGTAACATAGAATAGTTTTATTCCATGTCAACTGGGAAAAGCAATATTCAAAACAGTATATTTAATTTGAGATTATTTTAGTGGAAAGAGAAGTATGCAGTAAAGGATTTATATGATAGAGACAATGAGAAAGTAGGGGGAGGGAAATTCATACACATATTTACACAAGCAAAAGAGTAAAAGTTTATATACTGAAATTAAATCTCTGGACAATGGAATCATGAGTATTTTTTCCTCTATGATTTTTTTATATTTTCCACAATATGACAAATGTGTCATTTTTTATAATCATAAATAAAACTACAGTTCATATTAAAATGTCAAAAGATATTACAGGCTATGCACAATGGTGCATCTGTAATCCCAGTAGTCACAAGGCTGAGGCAGAGGATTCCAAGTTCCAGGTCAGCCTCAGCAACTTGGTGAGACCCTGTCTCAAAATAAAAAATAGGGCTAGCAGTGTGGCTCAGTGGTAAAGTACCCTTGAGTTCAAGTCACACACCCCTGCCCCATGAACTGTGAGAAAAAAAGAACTTTTAAACTAGATCTTGATAGAACAACAAAAGAATTCAGTACAAAGGAAAAAAATTTAAGGTGGCAGAAAAAAATCATTCTCATATAATTCAGCTGGCTAATAAAGCCTCCTCATTATAAAATTAACTGTCTTAGACAACTTTTAATAAGAATTACATTTTTAGGATAAAATGGGTGTATTTTAATTTATTTTTAAAACAGTTTTATAGTAGTTGATTCTCTTAGTCATCACCTCTTTTTCTTCTAGGGAGAGGATATAACCTTCAAAGCAAACTGTTGCCTCTAATGTTGTTTATTTACTTACTTTGTCAGGTCTCAAAAGACTGCCAGGATATCTACTCGGGATGTTTTGGTAGGCAGCAGGAAGTTCTTCTGAGCTTTAACAAATAAATTTGGCCAAAGAAAATTCTAATGGGTGCAGGTAGCCAACCTTGCTCCAATTCATTCATGTACAACCTAGATTAGTGTAGCAAGTCATAACTAGACTGGTAATTATTTAATTATMCATTTTTTTTWAATTTAATGATTAAAAATGACAAGAGTAGTCTTTTTACCCTTTTTTTGTAGCAGTGTGAATATTTTTAGACCAATGAACTTTTTTTAAGTAAGAAGTTTGATTTTGACTTTTTTAAAGACATAATAGAATTTAGTGCTATAGAATATTTTAAACATTTAAAATAATTTTTGAGCTAATATCATGCTTTAGAGTATGTGTCTCAAAATTCTTCCAGTATCC